TAGTAAAAAAAAAAGAAAAATTTATTTCATCTGATCCAGTCTGGTAATTGCAGCCCTATAGCTAACATTTCTCTACTAAATCTAATGGCTTACAGGGTCAGGATGATTTCCCTAAATTCAAATGAGATAAATTCTTTGAGAAATCACTCATAACTTTTAAAAAATTATCTCAAGTTTAGACATCACTTCGGAAGAAAAAGCACAAAGTTATCTGTCCCAGTGTTTGGGATTCTTAAGCAAACCGAATGCTGATTCAAAACAAAATTTAGAAGTAAAGAAAAAAATAGTTAAAACCTCAGAAATTAAACCAGGAACCATTCCCACATTTCGGAATTTTTTTTTTCTAAGCATGATAGAAAACATAAAGATAAAAAAATCTTTTAACATATACAGTGAAAATATACAAAAATAAAAAATATGCATATTATATGCATGAATAATTTAAAAATACATGTTAAGTCTGGCCAGTGGTGGCTCATGCCTATAATAGTCCCAGTAGTGTGGGAGATTAAGCAGGAGGGTTGCTTGAAGCCCAGGAATTCTATATCAGCCTGGGCAACATAGTGAGACCTTGTCTCTACAAAAAAAATCAAAAAATTATCCAGGCATGGTGGCACACACCTGTAGTCCCAGGTACCTGGGAGGTTAAACCAGGAACTATTCTCATGTTTCTGAGATGTTTGGTTATTATTATAACCAGAGTGGGAGGATCACTTGAGCCAGGGTGGTCAAGGCTTCAATTAGCTGGGATCTCCCAGAGGCAGACCCTGTCTCAAAACAAGAAAATGCATTTAAGTCTTAGGGCTGTTTCAGAGATGTGTCTCTGTTAAACTGCTGTGTGAGGTTAAACATGTTTTGGCAAAAATTATTTGCTTGACCAAACTTTAGTTAGGTTCCTGAATGTTTTCCTAAGCCCATCTGTACACTTTCTTATAAAATCCAGTTTTAGCAAGAACCCTGCTAAGTTAGTTTATCAAGAATATGCCCCTTCCTTTGATATGTCATCACCCTCAATATGCGATTAGCTTTCTCAACTTCCACTGTCTCCCAGATGGTATCTAGTCACCCTGGCCTGTCTTCAGCAAAAATCCTGATAAGTCAGTTAGAATTCCTTCTTGCCTTTGATATTTTATTCACTGACCCCCAGCCTGACCCTTGTGAGCTATAAATTTCCACTTGCCCATGTTTTATTTGCAGATGAGCTCAATCTCTCTTCTGCGCTGCAAAATATCATTGCAGTGGTCCTTAGACCTATCACAATGATCTTGAATTGAGTCCACCTTACCAGGCTTTAACAAGTATTCTTGAATAATTTATTCTTTAGTATCTTCACAGAAGAAATATGTGTGTTCCTGACATTGCAGTTTTTGTCATGGAATATTTAAGAATACTGACACTATTGCTCAAATAATCCTTGATTTTCAGTGTTTTTATGGGGTTGAACTTGAATCCTTGATCTGTGTTTTCCGGGGTTGAACTTGAATCTTATTCATAGTTAAGAGTGCCTGGATGGGGACAGACTAGAAGAAAAGACATTGGAGCCCTTAGAAAAAGATTGCTATGAAAAAAAACCCTGAAAGAAAGCTGCAGACTGAGCACCTGGGACTGCAGGTATCCCGGAGCCACTGTTGCAAGCTTAGATCCTATGTTAGTTGGCTATGGCTCCTGTAACAAAGTACCACAAAGCAGGTAGTATGAGACAACAGATCTTCTTTCATACTTCTGGAGATCATAAGTCTGAAATTGAGGTATCAGCAAGGTTGGCTCCTTTGGAGAGTTCTGAGGGAGAATCTATTCCAGGTCTGTCTTGTAGTTTCTGATGACAGCTGGCAATGCTTCTGGTCCCTGGCTTGTAGATGCATAACTTCAATTTCTATCTCTGTCTTCACATGGTATCCTCCTTATGTCTTCACATGACCATCTTCCTTCTGGGTTCTCTCTCCTCTTCTAATGAGAATACCAGTCACATTGATTAAGAGCTGCGTATCCTACTCCAGTATGAATTCATCCTAACTAATTACATCTGCAACCCTTTTCCAAATAATGTCACCTTCTAACTTCTGGGGTAGCAGGATTTCACTTTTTTTAAAGAGAGAACACTATCACAATTCAACGCACAAAATATTTCCTTTCCAAAGAGTATATGTACTCTAGAGAAGGGACTATAGTATAAAACGAAAGCTTTCCTTACATGGCTAAGACCCTGAAAATTCTGCCAAAATAAAAAGAGAAAATAAAATCCTCTTAAAACACTGATCAGTTGGCTGGACATGATGGTCACACCTGTAATCTCAACACTTTGGGAGGCCGAGTTAAGAGGATCGTTTGAGCCCAAAAATTGAAACCAGCCTGGGCAACATGTTGTCTTTACAAAACACAAACATTAGACAGAGTGGTGGATGCCTTTAGTCCCAGCTACTTGGGAAGCTGAGGTAGGAGGATTCCTTGAACCCAGGAGGCAGAGGTGGCAATGAGCTGAAATCACACCATGACATTCCAGCCTGGGCAACACAGCCAAACCCTGTCTCAAACAAAACAAAACCAACCAAACTAACAAAATACACTGATCACAAGAGCAGAAACATTTTCCTACTAATTTTGGTTGGAGATAAGCACCAGAGTTGGTGGTCTTGAGAAAGTGCCATTGGTGGTACTGTTTGCCCTAAAAATGAAAGGTGGGGTGCAGTTGCCCACATGAACAAATGGTCTGGAAGAATGATAGCCATGAGTGCAGCACAAAGGCACCTGGAAGAAACATTTGAGAAGAGGGTCACACTATAGCTTTTACTTACTGTCCTTAATAAAGGTTCTATTGCTCTAACCATCCTATTACTATTTCTGTTTTAAAAATTTTTATTTTAGTCATCTTTTCTTAATCTACTCTGTCTCTGATTGCTGTCTTTTGATCTTATCCTCTTATCTTTAAATTTTTGCCTGTTCTTTCCCTAAAGGCATCCTGGGGTAAAAAATCAATATTAGCACAATAAATATGTGGTAAATAGATACATTTTATATAAGTCAAATATATTTTGCTGTACTCATCACTCATTGAAAGATTTAATGTAAACCTGGACATTATCTGTCTGACACACGAATGAATAACCCTTGCCTATACAGTTCACTTAAGTGATGGCCAAATTAATTCCCTTTATATATCTAGAGAAGATTGACCGATTTGCCAATTAATGAACCTTTTTCTTCGGTGTCTAAGCATATTTTGAATTTTTACAATACACCTATCTGTTTGTGACTCTCTCTTACCTCTTGTGCTTGGTTCTTGGGCTTTCTAAACACATTTTAAACATACAAAAAGCAGAAACTCTAAGTTTGCAGCATCTAAATCTCACTCTGTCCACACTACTTTGCCGCATTTTAATGTGGACTGTGTTTCCCAGCATTCAGTATGCCTCCACCAGCTCTCACTGCTTTGATTGATTTGCTTTTGGATTCCATGGTCTTCATACGAATTTGAATAGAGAGTACTCAAGGATACTTGAGGAGAAAAGCACTTTGTCCGCCTCACAGAGGAACATCCTTGAAGGAGAGATACGCACACTGTGTTTCTGCTCAGAAGTATCTTGAATTTCTGATCATAGGAAAAAGAATGCAGAAGGGACACGTCTTACAACAACATCTTGGCTTTTGCAGAGCAGGCCATGCTCTTTCCTATGCGGCACAAATTGAGTTTCTTAGTAGCAATTTATTGTCTTTCAGTTATTAAAAATGTTACTCAGTTTCTAGCAGTAACTGATAACTTCACATGTTTCTGTTTTTTCCTTCAGTCATCATGTTATAAAGTAGGGAAAGACTGCATCAGAAATTACTATCCAGTTGCATGTTTCCCCTTATCATTTTGTTTTTCTTGAGTAAAAATACTTTAGTTCTCTGGAAATATAAAGCAAATAAATAGTGTAGTGTGTGTTTGTATATATATGTGTTTGTGTGTGTGCGTGTGTGTGTGTGTGTACAGATATATGAAGCACTTGGTAGGAAGATAAAATTTCTCAAGAGAAATAATAAATTCAATTAAATCTACTTCAAAACAGCAGTCCCAAGAATATATTTAAATTAAGCATATCGTAAATTATTTTTACATGCATAAATTTAAAAAGAAACAAATCTAGGCTGAGTGTGGCGGCTCATGCCTGTAATCTCAGCACTTTGGGAGGTCCAGGTGGCAGGAATCACCAGGTGTTCGAGACCATCCTGGCCAATATAAAGAGACTCCATCTCTACAAAAATTAAAAAAAAAAAAAAAAGAATAGCTCACCTGGTGGCACAAGCCTGTAGTCCCAAATACTTAGGAGGCTGAAGTGGGAGGATCATTTGAGACTGGCAGTTTGAGATTTCAGTGAGCAGTAATTGTACCACTGCACTTTAGCCTGAGCAATAGAGTGAGACCCTGTCTCAAAAGCAAAATGGAAAGAAAGGAAATGAAACAAATCCAGTGAAAGATAAGATTTCCAAGGAACAAAAGGCAGAGACTAAGAAGTCATGAGGAGCAAGCTTTTCATGAGAATAAGTTACTTTATTAGGAGAGGTCACGTTTTGACAACACTCACCAAGTATTTTGACAAAACACAGTCAATTCACACAGATACCATAATGGTGAGAGAAACAAAGGTTTTCTATGAATCTGAAAAAAAAATGACTTAGTAAATTTGTTTCTAGAGGCACTGGAATAGTCAAAATCCTAGCTGAAAAAACTTAGGATTTGACATTTGGGTTTCTTCACCATTGAAATCTGCCACTGTAAAATATGAGATAGTTGATCTTGAAGTGAAAGACACTTTCGCATATTCACATATTACTGTATATTTTTAAATGTGTGGAAATTTACCCAAAGCTTAACAAGGAATTTAGTGGAAACTGTGCAGCTTTACATGGAGCATAATTATAACATTAACATAAAAGAGGTATTATATTTACTAGAATTTGGGGTATCTATTGGTATACCAGATCTCTTCAGATATAATTGTAACATCAATTTTTTTTTCTAGTCAGAAATGACAAGATAAAGAATCCAATATATTTCCTACGTCACTGGCCTGTCTGAAAGCTAAAGGCAAGTTTTACCATAATGTATCTATTCTGTTTTTTTTTAACAACTACTTCTCTGCTTCTTTTAATGTATTTTGTTCCTTCTATTTAGTATACGTTGTTCATTTTCATGGGCATTTAGTTTTATAAGAAAATGGCTACTTTTAAAAGTAGTGTTTAAAAACTCACAATAGTTGCAATTAACCACACACCTTCCAAACCTTTGTCAGGTCCCAAGAACTGTTTTTAAAAACTTGTAGTCACTTAAGCCTTTGGAGATTAGACAGTGAATTCAATAATATCATCTTAAAAAAATAAACTCACAATAATCATGTGAAGAAAATATTATCTATGCCACTGTGCAAATAAAGCAAATCATTTGATTAAGAAGACAGAGCTCATAATAGCAACTATATGTTAAAGCTCATTTTCTAAATTCTAAAATAGTAATTTTTAAACCAGATTATTGCCCTTCAAATTGTCTGCTTTTCTTCTTTGATATATTTTATTTATTATGACAGAGAGCGTGTGGGCTATGCTACCCTGAAATAAGGCAACTTGGGGGTCACCCCTTGATTTTTTTGACCTTTCTCTGTGAGGGCTGCCCTCTGTAAGCAGGTCAAAAGACCCTCACGGGAGAGGTGTCATGCTCTGAACCCAGGGGGAAGGAATGTCACACAGTCACACAGGAAAGAATCTAGCACATAAGGCTTGCTGTGTTCTCCCCTAGCTTATTGTCATTAGATCATACCCCTCTTTGTACATTCATGTTTCTTTACAACCATTTACTTCTTTCATCAGACTTCACTTAAAATACACAATTTTCTCTGGGTCTTCATTTCTAAAGGCTTTCATGTTATGTCAAACTTTGGTTAATTAAATTTGCTATACTTTTCGCTTGTTAATTTGTTTTTTTGCTTTATCTGTCCTACATTGCCTAGTATTTTGGTTAACCTTATAATCCTTTGGTAAGCTGACAGCTGCCAACTCTAAGAAAAGTGGATTTAAAAAAATAACACCTTCAGCACAGAGACAAGTCTAGACTAGATCTTGCAGGAAGTGCACATAGACAGCGGCAAAAACCTGTGGTTTGGAGCAAAATGGAAAAAAAAAATCACCAAAGCAAAATCATGGTAGTTAGAGGATTCCAATAAAGATCAAAGATAGGTGAAAATTGGAGATTACTCTGCCAGGTCATAAAGATGAAGACAAACTTTGTCAGGTATATGCTGAAATGTATAGGGACAAATTTCAATTAAGTGGATAATGTTCGGTGGCATCTTGTTGCCCTTATGATGCCAGCCTCTCTCCTATACCCCATACCACAAGCTTTCTATTTTACAGCAAGAGTAATTAAAGAATTGCCATTTGAACAGGGGAGAGACATGATCTTTATCAGTAGCTAACTTTTTTGTTTTATCTAAAACATTAATTCAGCATGTCAGTGATTGTTGGGCATACCAAATGTAAACATTCTGGAAGTGGAAAATGTCAAGAAATCTCAAAAATAGTTCTCCCTGAAGTGAAACCAAAGCAGCAATGTAAGGTAGCCTATTCTACTGGCTGTGACAGTGGAAGAGTCAGGAATAAAATGACTCCGATCCTCAGTCTACTGTCCCAGGGGTACAACTACATCAAATGAGCTTTTCAGAGCCTACAGCCCTAATTTGTCAAATGGAAAATCCTTTATTGGTACCTTAGAGAGCAGCTGTGTATTTCAGTATGATAACACATTCTTTTGTGTTATTTCAAGTAATAGTAAAAATAAAACAACAAACAAATAAAACCCATGTTATTTCCACTTTCTTAGTCTTTGTAGTTCATTCTAACAGTAAAACAATAAAAACACAATGGGTCTTTTCAGGATGATACCATTAAAATCAACAATTTAATGTTTAATGTTAGATATATATTTGTAGTAAACTACAATAAAAGCAAGAGAATAACAAATATAATATTGGAATTAAGCTTGGAAGTGAGGTAGTAGATTCTTTCAGTAAGGGGCGTGTGGAAGCTGTAATATATTGATAATGTTCTATTTCTTACATTAATGCTGACTTAGTGTTCACCTTCATATACTGCATATCTTGTAGAGCTATATATAAGAGCTATATACATTTATTTAGATGTAAGAAATATTTTAGAAATTTTAAGAATTGTCCTGCAAAAACACACTATAGACAAACAGAGCAATGGAACAGCATAGAGTCCAGAAATAGAACTAAATAAATATATTTTGGGGGCCAGGCATGGTGGCTCATGCCTGTAATCCTAGCACTTTGGGAGGTCAAGGCAGGTGGATCACCTGAGGTCAGGAGTTCAGGACTAGCCTGGCCAACATGGTGAAACCCCATCTCTACTAAAAATATAAAAAGTCAGCCCAGCGTGGTGATGGGTGCCTGTAATCCCAGCTACCTGGGAGGCTGAGGCAAGAGAATTGCTTGAACCTGGGAGCCGGAGGTCTCAGTGAGCTGAGATCATACCATTGCACTCCAGGCTGTGTGACAGGGCCTGACTCTGTTTCAAAAATATAAATAAATAAAAATTTGAAAAAATCAAATGAATGTATTTTGTGACTTTGTTCCCTGGCAAATAAACAAAAACAATACAATGGAGAAAATATAGATCTTTCAACAGAGTGTACTAAAACACTTTGATATTCACATGGAACAAACAAAACAAAAGAAAAACAAAAAGAATCTAGACCCAGAATCTACATCCTTCACAAAATTTAACTTAAAGTAGTTCATAGCCTAAATGTAAAATACAAAACTATAGAACTCCTAGAAGATAACATATAGAAGAAAATCCAGATGACTTTCGGTTTGATGATGACTTTTAAGATACAAGACAAAAGGAGCAATACATGAAAGAAACAAATAAGAAGTTGGACTTGATTTCAATTAAAAACTTCTGAGAATGGGAGTGGTGGCTCACAACCAAAATCCCAATAGTTTGGAAGATAGTAGAACTGCTTGAGCCCGTAGTTTGAACCAGCTTGGACAACATGGTGAGATGCTGTCTCCACAAAAAATAAATTAAACAATTAGGTGGGCTTGGTGGTTCTCACTTGCAGTTCTAGCTACTTGAGAGGTTGAGGCAGGGGGATCACTTGAGCTTAGGAGCTTGAGGCTGCAGTGAGCCGTGATTGCACCACTGCACTCCAGCCTAGGAAACAGTGAGACTCTCTCTCTAAAAAACAAAAACAAAAAACAAAAAAAACTTGAGTGATATTGGCAAGACAGCAGACTAAGAAGTTATAGAATCTTTTTCTGCCACAGAGATATTCAGTTACAACAATATATAAACTAGAGCAGCTCTATGAGAGTACCTTGGCCATTGTGAAACCAAGAATAGTTCCCAGAGAAAGGGGTGAAAAATTTGTGGTGCTTGCCACACTTCCCCAATGTAATGTAGTATAGAGCAACTGGGAGGAAGCCCTCCACACAGAGATCATCTCTTGGAATGGAGATAAAAAAGTAGACTGTGTGTACAACATTTCGGCTTGTCTGAAGGATATATTAGGGATTGATTGATGTCTTCCTTGACTTAAAGCACTAACAGATCAATGGAGTTCAGAAGCTGCTGAATAACAGGCAAGCACCACTGCATGTTAGATCTGCAGTTCTAAAGAGAGATATTAGTGAGAGCAAGCAATTTAAAAAGATTTGAGAGGTCCAAGAACCTCTAGCCTGGCTGATTGACAAAGGCTTTCCTCTGCACAAAGCCAGTTACATAAAGATTGTGAGAGGCAGTCATTTTTGTTAAGTGCCCAAATTCTGGCAAAAGATACAAGGCATGTTAAAAACTAGAAAACATGGTCAAATCAAAGAAACCCAAAACTCCAGAAATTAAGACTAATAAATGCAATCTGTGAGCTGTCTGAAAAAGAATCTAAAATAACTCTTATAAAGATATTAGTGAACTAGAACACATAACCAACTAGATGAAATCAGAAAAAAATGCATGAACAAAATGAGAATATCAACAAAGATATGGGAAGCATAAAAAAGGATAAAATGGAAATTCCACAGTTGAAAATATCATAAGTAAACTGAAAAAAATTATTAGAGATCTCAACAGCAGACTTAATAAGGCTGAAGAAAGAATAAGCAAAACTTGGTAACAGCCTATTTGAAATCATTGAGTAAAAGGGTCAAAAACAAAAAAGGAAGAAAAGAAAAGAGAATCCAAGGGCCTTTCAGACATTCAAGAAGACTAATATGCACATTATAAAAATCCCAGAAGAAGAATAGAAAAAGAGGAGGACAGCTTATTTAAGAAAATAATGGTCAGAAACTTCACAAATTTGAGAGAAGAAGTGGTGATATAGTTTCAAGACTCTCAAAGAACTCCAACTAGAACAAATCCACATTGAACTACACACAGACACATCATAATCAAACTGTCTAAACTCAAAGACAAAAAACAATCTTGATAGCAGCAGGAGAAAAGCGAATTTATAATCTATAGGGGAGCTTCCATAGATATCAGCATATTTCTCAACAGAAACTGCGTGGACCATAAAGGAGTGGGATAACATATTCAGCATGTTGAAATACTGTATGCAGCAAAACTGTTTTTTGAAAATGAAAAAGAAATAAAGACTCTCCTAGATGAACCAAAACTGCACAACTACATTACAAATAGACCTCTTTAAAAGAAATGCTAAAGGAGGTCCTTTAAGTTGAAACAAATGGGTATCAGACAGCAATACAAAGCTACACACAAAATATAAAAAATATATTTATTACCCATAAAGGCAAATATAAGGACAAAAATGGTAGCTTGTACTATTGTTAATTCTGTCACAAAACCCAAAACAATTTTATAAAAAAATAACAAAGTGGGAGGAGTTCTACTTCCTTTTTAAAAATGTATTACAAAGCCACATAATTAAAACAGCATGGTACTGACATACTGACATAAGGCAGAAAAAATACCAATGAAAGAAAATGAAAAGCCTAGGAATAAATACGTATATGGTTGATATGGTTTGGAACTGTGTTCCTGCCCAAATCTCTTGTCAACTGTAATCTCCAATATTGTAGGTGAGGTCTGGTGGGTGGAGATTGACTTGTTGGGGTGGATTTCCCCATTGGTTCTGTTATCATCATAGTGAGTGAGTTTTTCTGTGATCTGGTTGTTTAAAAGTGTGTAGCACCTCCCACTTTCTTTTTCCTGCTCAAGCAATGTAAGACATGCCTGCTTTCTTTTCACTTTCCGCCATGATTGAATTTCCTGAGGACTCCTCAGAGGCCAAACAGATGCTAGCATCATGCTTCCTATACAGCTTGTGGAACTGTGAGCCAATTAATCTGCTTTTTAAATGAATTACCCAGCCTCAGATATTTCTTTATTTGTTTCTCCCATTTCTTGTTAATTACCCAGTCTCAGTGTGAGAATGGACTAACACAATGGTCTAATACAATAGCAGTGTGAGAATGGACTAATACAATGGTCAAGTGATGTTTGACAAGTGAGTCAAAACCAATGAATGAGAAAAAGACAGTCTCTTTAATAAATGGTGCTGGGAAAATAGGATGTCAACATGCAAAAGCATGAAGTTAGACCCTTATATTACACCATATGCAAACTAACTCAAAATGAATTAAAGTCCTTCATGTAAGACATAAAATTACAGAACTCCTAGTAGATAACACAGCAAAAAAATTCATGACATTAACATTGGCATAAATTCTTTAATATAATACCAAAAGCACAGGCAGCAAATGTGAAAATAGACAAATAGGACTACATCAAAGTTAAATAAAAATATTTTGTGCACAAAGAACTCAAAAGACTGAAAAGGCAACCTATAGAATGAAAGAAAAATTTACAAATCATGTGTTTGATAGGAGAGTAACATCCAGAATATACAAATACTCTCACAACTCAACAAAATATCAAATAACTCAGTTTTAAAATGGACAAATGACTTGAATAAACGTTTTTCCAAGATGATGTATCAGTGGCCAAAAAACATACGAACAGATGCTCAACATCACTAATTATCTAAGAAAAGCAAATCACAACCAAAATGAGAAAGTCATCTTACAACCATTATAATAGCTACCACAAGCAACAACAATAAAAACTTAAAAGCAAAAAATGAATAGAACCAACAAAACAAAACAAAAAAACCCACAGAAAGAAAACAAGTGTTGGTAAGGATATGAAGAAATTGGAATCCTGTACACTGCTGATGGGATTGAAAATGATTCAACTCCTATGAAAAATGATATGAAATTCTCTTATAAAATTAAAAATAGATAAGCATATGATCCAGCACTCTTACTTCTAAGTATATACACAAAAGAATTAGAAACATGGTCTCACAGAGATTGTTTACAGTAGCACTGTTCATTACAGCCAAGAGGTGGAAGCAACCCAAATGTTTACTGATAAATGACTAGATTAACAAAATGTGGTCTACGCATACAAGGGGATATTGTTCAACCCTTAAAGGAAATTCTGTCATGTGCTAAAACATAGGCAAACCTTGAGAACATTATGCTAAGTGAACTAAGCCAATGCATAAAGAAATATACTGAATAATTCCACTAATATGAGGTATACAAAGTAGTCATATTCTTAGAAAGCAAAACGTTAATTAGCAAGAAATGAAGGAAAAAGAAAGGAGAGTTGTTGTTTAATGGGTAAGAGGTTCAGATTTGCAGGATAAAACAGTTTTTAAAATCTGTTTCACAAGAATGTGAATATACTTACACTCCTGACCTATATAGTTAAAAACTGTTAAGATGATAAATTTTATGTTACATTTTTTTTTTTACCGTAATAATAATATATTTACAACTTCTGCTCTGTGAAACATACTGTTAAGAGAATGAGAACACAATCAAGAGACTAGGACAAAATATTTGCAAAAGGATATTTGATTAATAATTGTTATCCAAAATATATAAACAACTCTTAACACTCAATAATAATGAAAAAAAAAAAAAAAACTAAAGCCTGGGCAAAAAATGAAAAGGTACTTCACCAAAGAAGATATACAGATAGTAAAGAAGAAGTATAGGAAAATATACTTAACTTATCATTAGGAAAATGAAAATTAAAACAGCAATGAGATACCACTGCACTTCAATTAGAATGATGATAATTAAAACACTGACAATACTAATGCTGGTCCGGATATGGAGTATGTGGAGGAACAGAAACTCCCACTCATTGGTGGTGAAATTAAAAATGCTACAATTACTTTGAAAGACAGTTTGGCAGTTTTTTTTACAAAGCTAAATATACTCTTAACACATAATTCAGCAATTATGCTTCTTGACATTTTCTCAAGTGAGTCGAAAACTTATGTCAACACACAAACCTGCACATGGATGTTTATAGCAACTTTATTCGTAATTGCCACAACTTGGAAACAACCAGCATGCCCAACTGGTGAATGAATAAACAAACTGTGATACATCCCTGCAATGTAATATTATTGAGCACTAACAATAAGTGAGCTAGCCAACCATTAAAAGATATAGAGGAAACTTATATTAAGTAAAAGAAGCCAATCTGAAAAGGCCACATATTACATAATTCTAGCTACAGGCATATCTTGAAGATATTGTGGGTTTAGTTCTATCTCAATAAAGAGAGTCATAAATTTTTAGTTTTACAGTAGATATAAAAGTTATGTTTATACTATACTGTAGTCTATTGGTGTGCAATACAATTTTGTCTCAAAATAGATATACATACCTTATTGAAAAAACTTTAGCTATCAATCATCTAGGCCATCAGCAAACAGCAATTTTTTTTTTTTTCCTGATAGAAGGTCTTACCTTGATAAGAGAAAGAAAACATAAACAAGAAACTGAGAGAAAGTATTTGATACATATTGATGGCTACTGACTGATCAGGGTAGTGGTAGCTAAAGCAACAGAAGGCTGTGGCAATTTTTTAAAATAAGAAAAGAATAAAGTTTGCCACATTGATTGACACTTTCTTTTACAACAGACTTCTCTGTAGCATGCCATACTGTTTGAGTAGAACTTCTTTTATGCTTTATGAGAGTCAGCCTGCCCTTTGAAGCTTTGAAGCCAGGATTGGTTTCTCTCTAGCCATGAAATCATTGAGAATTGAAGTCAGTTCTCTCAAACTCTCCCTCTTCTTTATCAACTAAATCTATATAATTTTCTAAATCCTTTGGTGTCATTTCAACAATGTTCTCAGCATCTGCACCAGCAGTAGATTCCCTCTCAAGAAGCCATTTTCTTTGCTCATCAATGAGAAGCAACTTCTCATCACTTCAAATTTTATCCTGAGGTTGCAGCAATTCAGTCACATCTTCAGGCTCCACTTCCAATTTTAGTTCTTTTGCTATTTCTATCAAATCTGCAGTTACTTTCTCCACTGAATTACTCAACTCCTCACACTCATCTCTGAGTGTTCCAGTGAACTTCTTCCAACTTTATTAATCCTTCTTCCATTAATTACAAATGTTCTAAATGGCATTTAGAATGGTGAAACCTTTCCAGAAAAGTTTTCAATTTATTTTTCTCAGCTCCATCAGAGTAATCTTTATGATAGCTAGAGCCTTACAAAATATATTTTTTAAGTAATAAGACTTGAAGGTCAAAATTGCTCCTTGATTTAGCAAAATAGAGATTGTATTAGCAGGCATGAAAACAACACTAATCTCCTTGTACATCTCTGTCAGAGTTCTAGGGTAACCAGGTATCTTGTTGGTGAGCAGCAATAATTTGAAAAGAATCTTTTTTTCTGAGCAGCAGGTCTTAACACTGATCTTAAAATATTCAGAAAACATTGCCATGAACAAATGTGCATAGCTTTTAAAGTCCCTAAGAGTTTTGGAAAGATCAGTGAGCATTGACTTCAACCTAAAGTCACCAGCTACATTAGCCCCTAACAAGAGAGTTAGCCTACTCTTTGAAGGTTTGAAGCTAGGTATTGACTTCTATCCATGAAATCCTTGATGACATCTGCTTCTGATAGAAGGCTGTTGGTCCACATTACAAATTTGTTGTTTAGTGTAGCCGCCTTTATCATTTGTCTTAGCTAGACCTTTTGGATAATTTGCTGCAGCTTCTACATCAGCACTTGCTGCTTCACTTTGCACTTTCATGTTATAGAGATGATTTCTCTTCTCTAATCTCATGTATCAACCTCTGCTAACTTCCAACTTTTCCTCTAGAGCTTCCTCACCTCTCTCAGTCTTCACAGCATTGAAAGGAGTTAGGGTCTTGATCTGCATTAGGCTTTAGCTTAAAGTAATATTGTGGCTAGTTTGATCTTTTGTTCAGACCACTCATGAGCAATAAGACCATTTTATTTTATCACTCAGTGTTCACTGGAGTAGCACTTTTAATTTTTTTCAAGAATTTTTTCTTTTCTTTGCAATTATAATATGACTAACTATTTGATATAAAAGACCTAGTTTTTGGCTCATCTCAGGTTTCAACAGTTTTTCCTCTCTAAGCTTTAAAATTTCTAGATTTTGGTTTACAATGAGAAAGACATATGACTTTTTCACTTGAACACTTAGAGACCTATAAGGTTACCAATTAAATGAATTTCAATATTGTGTCTCAGGGAATAGGCAGAAACCAGGAGAGGGAGAGAGATGGAGGAGCGGCCAGTTGGTAGAGCAGTCAGAACACAAACAAATACATGTAGAATAAGCTTGCTATTTTGTATGGGCACAATTCATGGTGCTCCAAAACAATCACAATAGTAACATCAAAGATCAAAGATCATAAATTACCATAACAAATATAATAATATGAAAATTTCTGAAATATTTTGAGAATTACCAACCCGTGACACAGAAACATGAAATGAGCCATAATGTTGGGAAAACGGTCCTGATAAAGTTGCTTAGTTACTGCAGGGTTGCTACAAACCTTGAATTTATAAAAAATGCAATCTGTGAAGTGCAATAAAGCAAATGCAATAAAACTCTAGGTGTGTCTATATATGACATTTTGTGAAAGGCAAAACTATGAAGACAGTAAAAAGATCAGTTGTTGCCAGGGGTCTCGGGGGAAAGAAGTATGAATAGACAGAGTATAGAGAAATTTTAGGGCAGTGAAACTATTCTTTATAATTTTTTTTGAGGCAGAGTTTTGTTCTTGTTGCCCAGGATGGAGTGCAATGGCACAATCTCTGCTCATGGCAGCTTCCATCTCCTGTGTTCAAGAGATTCTCCTGCTGCAGCCTCCCAAGTAGCTGGGATTACAGGCCTGCACCACCACGCCTGGCTAATTTTTTGTATTTGGTAGAGATGGAGTTTCCCATGTTGGTCAGTCTGGTCTCAAACTCCTGACCTCAGGTGATCCACCCACTTCGGCTTACCAAAGTGCTGAGATTACAGGCATGAGCCACCATACCCAGCCTGTTCTTCATAATATTATAATGTAAAACATAATTTATTATACATTTGTTGAAACCCATAGAATGAACAACACCAAGAGTGAGACCTAATGTAAATTATGCATTTGAGATGACAATGATGTGTCAATGAAGGTTCATCAATTGTAACAAATGTACCACTCTTTGTGGGGGCAGGGAGTATGTTGATTATGGAAAGGCTGTCTGTGTGTATAGGCTGGAGGCGTGTGGAAACTGTCTATACTTTCTACTCAATTTTGTTGTGAACCTAATAGTACTCTACAAAATAAAGTCTAATTAAAACATGTTAAGACAGAAATGCTCTTTATCAAAGATGGTATGATGTATTTGAAATAAAGGCATAGAAACCAACAATTACGTTAGCATATGTTTTAGTGCTGCTGATAAAGGCATTTGACTTTAGTGTGTTCACGGGAAGATTTCACTTTGATTCTGACATTTTGTGTTTTTAAAAGGAATAAAGGAGAAAGCATGCAATAGAGAATAGCATAAGAAAGACAAAGGAAGAATGTGCATTTCATATGTTTAGAGCAGCTATTTGTGTAAGAGCCGGTCCCCCCGCCAAAACAAAACAAAACAAAAAACACCTGGAGAAACAGGAGAATAAGGAGACAAGTGAATGAATTTGAAAAGTGGCCATCACTATTCAACAGAAGATGTTGGGCAATTCATTGTATGTCTCTGAAACTCAGTTTTCTCATCTGTAAAAATCAAAGGGCAATTGAAGACATGGGAAGATCAGATGATTCACTCAGTCTTAAAACTGAGATTCCTCAGACTCTGTTCCTCATGATACACATGGAGAAAAAACTCATTAAAAATTCATTAAATAAGTACATGCCACTTCTTTTATTCATCAGCCAAATCTAGGTGGCAAATGGATTGCTTCCCAAATAACAAAAACTGATGGGTGAGAAGGACCTGTGCTTTTGCCTCATCCACCTCTCAGAGCCGCAGCATGGTTTACTTTTAACAGTTGGTTCAGGTAACAACAGTTTATTGTCAGAGTTATTACTGCATAACTCTAAGGATGATCATGCAGAGTTTAATTTTTTAGTAGTTTTGGCATTAATATTTTATTATAACTTTCTGAGAGGTAGGTTAGCATGGCAGACCCTTACTGAGTAATTAATGGCCTGCGGTCTCCTGCAGGGGATGAGCCATATGGTGAGGGAAAAGACACATGGAAGAGGGAAGAGGGGAAAAGTTTAAATAAGAGAAGAGTCTATCTTCACATGAAAACACAGACATGCAGAGCTTATCAGCTTTAAGGGACGGAGAAACAGGAAGTCAAAAGTGTGCCATCCAAAATGTTCACTGGGATAATTTTGTTGTAAGAAAAACAGCATAAGACATGAGTAGTAAACACATGCTTGTTTGCTGTTCTTTAAAATACAATGAAAATGACAGTAATTTTCTTGAGACTATTCTAGTGTTAGACACTAGAGTAAATACTTTTCTTATATAGTATCCCATTTTATGCTTATAACAATCCTTTGAAGTATGTGCCACTATATGTCACCATTTTAAAGATGATGAAATAGGATTTAGCAAGAATTAGTGATTTACCCAAGGTCACACAACTGCTAAATAGGAGAAAAAGATGTGAACACAGGTGTTCTCTCAAAAATTATCCTTCTTATGTCACCCAATTTTGGGGGTGTGTTCTTTCTTAGCTCACTGCTTCAGTATTTAAGTCTAAAGTCAGCCAGAGCAACAGCTAACTATGTAAGGGAAGAGATCAGAAGCCAGGCTGTTTTCCCCCAGTGTTTCACACTTGCTCATTTATATCTTCTGGAACTAATGAGATGGAAAGATGTAAAATATGTCAGGCAGCCAATATTTAAATTAATTTCAAGACTACACTGCAAGCTTAGCCAAATATGTACTGAGTATTCTATTGTTCGCTTCAGATTTGTAGTTAGGCTCCTAATCAATCCTGCTCACTGAAGATCTATGTGGTGAGTGACACATGATAGCATAACACAAATATCATGCACCACAGAAACGCTGCAAGTTAGAGCAATATGGGTAACGATTAACAAATTCCCACCAAAATTAAAGCCTGAAACTAGAGCTCATTTCTTACTCATAAAATTAAGTAATTCAAAATCTCCAGAAACCTCCTCCACAATTTTTTTTTCTCAGCCATTTCTCAACTAGAAGGATTACTGAGATTTCTGATGGAAGCTAGTACCCGTCAGCAGATTCAGTCTGGAGGCGTCATTCCTTGCATCTATGGTAAATATTATAAAGCTTTCAACACTGGAATAATCAAACCCTAAGCTACTCATGTGTTCCAATTTCAAATTTTTAAAAAATAGTACTCCAAAAAATAACATATATGCATTGGGGTCATACCTACAAAATTTAAGAATGTAAATAATTTCTTAGCCTGTAAGCAGTTCATCCCTATCAAGATAAGGTTATTAGAACTTACTACAGTTTGTAATCTAAATATACACTACTATTTCCAGGCAAAAACATTACCTGAGTGAAAGAATTAGAGAGAAAGAATGTGGAACATTTTTCTGGATTTCCACATTATTAGGATGTCTATTCATACTTGTTTTTCAAAGTTGTAGCATATACTTAAACTCCATTGGAAGAAAATGCCCACCCAAACAATAGCTGTGATACTGTGTGATCTTCATAAAGCCTTGAAGAAACCCAGAGCTTTCATCACTCTGTGGATGTGCGTTCAGCTCTTTATTTATTTATTTATTGCTTTTTTAAATTGTACTTTAGGTTCTAGGGTACATGTACAGATCATGCAAGATCGTTGCATAAGTACATACATGACAATGTGGTTTGCTGCCTCCATCCCCTGTCACCTATATCTGGCACTTCTTCCCCTGTTATACCTCCTCAACCTTCCCACCCCCACTATCCCTCCATTATCACCCGCCAAACAGACCCATGTGTGATGCTCCCCTCCCTGTATCCATGTGTTCTCATTGTTCAACACCTGCCTATGAGTGAGAACATGCGGTATTTGATTTTCTGTTCTTGTGTCGGTTTGCTGAGAATGATGGTTTCCGGATTTATTCATGTCCCTACAAAGGACACAAACTCATCATTTATGGCTGCATAGTATTCCATGGTGTATATGTACCACATTATCCTTGTCCATTCTATCATCAGACATTTGGGTTGGTTCCAGGTCTTTGCTATTGTAAACAATTGTGCAATGAATATACATGTGCATATGTCTTTATAATAGAATGATTTCTAATCCTTTGGGTATATATCCAGTAATGAGATTGCAGGGTCAAATGGAATTTCTATTTCTAGGTCCTTGAGGAATTGCCACACTGTCTTCCACAATGGTTGAACTAATTTATACTCCTACCAACAGTATAAAAGTGTTCCTATTTCTCCACATCCTCTCCAGCATCTGTTGTCTCTAGATTCTTTAATGATCACCATTCTAACTGGCATGAGATGATATCTCAAAGTGGTTTTGATTTGCATTTCTCTAATAATGAGTGATGATGAGCATTTTTTCATATGTTTGTTGGCCTCATATATGTCTTCTTCTTTGAAAAGTGTCTGTTCATATCCATTGCCCAAATTTGAATGTGTTTGTTTGTTTCTTGTAAATCTGTTTTAGTTCTTTGAAGATTCTGGATATTAGCCCTTTGTCAGATGCGTAGATTGCATAAACATTTTCCCATTCTGTTGGTTGCCAGTTCACTCTAATGATTGTTTCTTTTGCTGTACAGAAGCTCTGGAATTTAATTAGATCCCATTTGTCTATTTTTGCTTTTGTTGCCAATGCTTTTGGTGTTTTAGTCATGAAGTCCTTGCCTATGCCTCTGTCCTGAATGGTTTTGCCCAGGTTTTCTTCTAGGTTTTCTATGGTATTAGGTTTCAAGTTAAAGTCTTTAATCCACCTAGAGTTAATTTTACTGTAAGGTGTCAGAAAGGGGTGCAGGTTCTGCTTTCTGCACATGGCTAGCCAGTTTTACAACACCATTTACTAAATAGGGAATCCTTTCCCCATTGTTTGCTTTTGTCAGGTTTGTCAATGATCAGATGGTTGTAGATGTGTGGCATTGCCTCTGAGGCCTCTGTTCTCTTCCATTGGTCTATGTCTCTGTTTTGGTACCAGTACCATGCTGTTTTGATTACTGTGGCCTTGAAGTATAGTTTGAAGTCCAGTAGTGTGATGCCCTCAGCTTTGTTCTTCTTGCTTAGGATTATTTTGGCTAGGTGGGCTCTCTTTTGATTCCATATGAATTTTAACGTGGTTTTTTCCAGTTCTGTGAAGCAGGTCATTGGTAGGTTGATGGGGATAGCACTGAATCTATAAATTACTTTGGGCAGTATGGCCATTTTCACCATATTGATTCTTCCTAACCATGAACATGGAATGTTTCTCCAACTGTTTGTGTCCTCTCTTATTTCTTTGAGCAGTGGTTTGTAGTTCTCCTTGAAGAGCTCCTTTACATCCTTTGTTAGTTGTATTCCTAGGTATTTTATTCTCTTTGATTTGGCTGTTAGTCTGTCACTGGTGTATAGGAATGCCTGTGATTTCAGCACATTGATTTTGTATCCTGAGACTTTGCTGAAATTCCTTATCAGTTTAAGGAGATTTGGGGCTGAGACGATGGGGTCTTCTAAATAAACAATCACATCATCTGCAAATAGAGACAATTTGACTTCCTCCTTTCCTAATTGAATACCCTTTATTTTTTTTTCTTGCCTAATTGCTCTTGCTAGAACATCCTATACTATATTGAATTGGAGTGGTGAGAGAGGGCATCCCTGTCTAGTGCCAGATTACAAAGGGAATGCATCCAGTCTTTGCCCATTCAGTATAATATTGTCTGTGAGTTTGTTATAAATGGCTTTTATTATTTTGAGATATGTTCATTTGATACATAGTTTATTAAGTTTTTAGCATAAAGGGCTGTTGAATTTTGTCAAAAGACTTCTGTGCATCTATTGAGGTAATCATGTGGTTTTGTCTTTGGTTCTGTTTATGTGGTAGATTACATTTATAGACTTGCATATATTGAACCAGCCTTGCATCCCCAGGATGAAGCCTACTTGATCGTAATACATAAGCTTTTGATGTGCTATTGCAATCAGTTTGCCAGTATTTTATTGAAGATTTTTGCATCTATGTTCATCATGGATATTGGCCTGAGGTTTTCTTTTCTTGTTGAGTCTCTGCTGGTTTTTGGTATCAGGATGAAGTTGGTTTCATAAAATGATTTGGGAAGTATTCCCTCTTTTTGATTTGTTTGAAATAGTTTCAGAAGAAATGGTACCAACCCCACTTTTTTATGTATGGTAGAATTTGGCTGTGAACCCATCTGGACCTGGACTTATTTTGATTGGTAGGCTCTTAATTGCTGCCTCAACTTCAGCCCTTGTTATTGGTCTGTTTAAGGTTTCAGCTTCTTCTTGGTTTAGGCTTGGGAGAGTGCAAGTGTCCAGGAATCCATCCATTCCTTCCAGGTTTACCGATTTATGTGCATCAAGTTGTGTGTAGTAATCTCTGATGGTAGTTTGTATTTCTGTGGAGTCAGTGGTAATATCCCCTTAATTGTTTTTTATTGCATCTATTTAATTCTTCTCCTTTTTCGTTTTCATTAATCTGACTAATGGTCTGTCTGTTTTGTTTACCTTTTCAAAAAACCAGCTCTTGGATTTATTGATTTTTTGAAGGTATTTTTGTGTCTCTATCTCCTTCAGTTCTGCTCTGATCTTAGTTATTTGACGTCTTCTGCTAACTTTTGAGCTTTTTTTTATCTTGCTCCTCCACCTCATTCAATTTTGATGATAAGGTGTCAATTTTAGATCTTTCCTTGCTTCTCATGTGGGCATTTATTGCTATAAATTTCCCTCTAGGCACTGCTTTAAATATGTCCCAGAGATTCTGCTATGTTGTGTCTTCGTTCTCACTGGTTTCAAAGAACATCTTTATTTTTGCCTTCGTTTCATTGTTTATCCAGTTGACATTCAGGAGCCAGTTGTTCAGTTTTCATGAAGTTGTGCGGTGGTCAGTTTCTGAATCCTGAGTTCTAATTTGATTGCGCTGTGGTTGGAGAGACTGTTTGTTATGATTTCTGTTCTTTTGCATTTGCTGAGGAGTGATTTACTTCCAATTATGTGGTCAATTTTAGAGTAGGTGCGATGTGGTGCTGAGAAGAATGTATATTCTGTGGATTTGGGGTGGAGATTTCTCTAGATATCTATTAGGTCTGCTTGGTCTAGATCTGAGTTCAAGTCCTGAATATTCTTGTTAATTTTCTGTCTCATTCATTTGTCTAATATTGACAGTGAAGTGTTAAAGTCTCCCACTATTAATGTGTGGGAGTCTAAGTCTCTTTGTAGGTTGTTAAGAACTTGCTTTATGTATCTGGGTGCTCCTCTATTGGGTGCATATGTATTTAGGATCATTAGCTCTTCTTGTTGCATTGATCCTTTTACCATTATGTAATGCCCTTCTTTGTCTCTTTTGAACTTTGTTTGTTTAAAATTCTTTTTATCAGAGACTAGGATTGCAATTCCTGTTTGTTTTTTCTCTCCATTTGCTTAAATCTGCCTCCATCCCTTTATTTTTAGCCTCTGTGTGTTCTTGCACATGAGATGGGTTTCCTGAATACAGCGCGCCAATTGGTCTTGACTTTTTGTTCAATTTGCCTTTCTGTGTCTTTTGATCGGGGCATTTAGCCCACATTTAGGGCTAATATTGTTATGTGTGAATTTGATCCTGCCATTTTGATGCCTGCTGGATGTTTTGCCTGTTAGTTGATGTATTTTCTTCATTGTGTTGATGCTGTTTACCATTTGGTACATTTTTGGGTTGGCTGGTACTGGTTGTTTCTTTCCATGTTTAGTGCTTCTTTCAAGAGCTCTTTTAAGTCAGACCTACTAAGAACCTTGAAAAAAGGTTAGACGAAATGCTGCCTGGAATAAACAGCTTAGAGAAAAATATAAACGACTTGATGGAGCTGAAAAACACAATGAGAACTTCGGGAAGTGTACACAAATTTCAATAGCAGAATCAACCAAGCAGAAGAAAGGATATGAAAGATTGAAATTCAACTCAATGAAATAAAACGAGAAGGCAAGATTAGAGAAAAAAGAGTAAAAAGAAATGAACAAAGCCTACAAGAAATATGGGATTATGTGAAAAGACATAATCTACATTTGATAGATGTACCTGAATCTGATGGAGAGAATGAATCCAAGCTGGAAAACGCTTTTCAGGATATTATCCAGGAGAACTTCCCCAACCTAGCAAGGAAGGCCAACATCCAAGTCCAGGAAATACAGAGAACAGCACAAAGATAATCCTCAAGAGCAACCCCAAGGCACATAATCATCAGATT